CACACACGCTGCAGTATTATAAACAGGTGAAGTATAACTCTACACACGCACGCACAGCTGGATGCCATCAGCAGGTCCTTTCAGGGTAAAATAACATCACAGCATAATTTAGCGTTTCTTGGACATAAAACAGACTTTAAGAGGACAAACTGACTGAATTCCTTTAAACTGCACTGGCAGACTTTTGAAGGGTCAGTGCTGTTCTGTTTGCTCTCCTGACCTTTAACCCCTGAGCTGACCTGACTGACCCTCCGGGGAAATAATGGCGTGTCCCAGATGAATTTTAAAAAGCAAGATGGCAGCCAGCGCGCCGGTCGCGTTTGGGTATTGCATATTCATACGAAGCTAACGTTTTCAGTCAGACATTTCTATCCTCACGGAAAAACCAGACGTCTTACTGTCACAGGTAAAGGTGAGCGGCTCTCTGAAGTGCTCACTGATGACCGTCACCTTCACACTGACCCCCAGGCCCTGATGGAGCTCTTCGTGGCCGACGGAGGGCGACCACACAAAGCCGGCGTTCTTTGAGCGGTCACAGCACGGGTACGCCGAGCGCAGCCTGAGGGCAAAGACAGGTGAGAGGGCAGCAGGTGGAGACGCCTGCAAGGGAGAGACAGAGGATTGTGACTGAATGTGATCGTCACGGCAACAGGCTACTCACACATCCAGCGTGTGGCAGAACGCTGCCACCTCCTCGTCACGCTCCTCCGACACCTGGAAGAGCTCGTACCCGAAACCGTTCATCCTAGCGCCCAGCGACACCTGCAGGACACGCAAAGACAGCCAATCAGAGACTCTCACACACACAGTTCAGAGTGTGTGTGCGTGTGGTCGACATTAAAGCGTGGCGGGGATTGTTTTACGTTTCATTTAAACATTGAAAAAACGTCTGAGGCAGGAAATGAAATTGAGGCTGCAGAAAAAGAAGAAGGAGGAAGAGGAGGAGGAGGAAGAATGTGGTGATGAGTTCGTGTTTTGAGGGAAATAAAAATGCTGAAACTGAAGCGTCAGTCTGAGCACGTCCAAGCGCGGCGAAGGAAGCGTGTCAGGACGCCGCCTGCCAATCTGGTTTCAAGTTACAGCTGGTGGAACTGGTCTGACTGGGTTCCATGCGAAGGGCTGGGAATCAAACCGCAGCACTTCTCCAGAAACCATCTGAAAACCTGGACTTCCTGTCAGGACTTCTGACAGGAAGTGACACAACTCTGAGTGCGGGGGTGTTTTTTCTAAATGAAGCCGCTGCACAGCTGCAGCGTGTCTGAACACAAACACATCGACAATGATGTAAATTCAGCTTCCTGCTCTCAGAAACACGAAGGAGGCGATTAACGCCCCTCAAAGACGAACACTTCCTGTTTTCTGCTGTCGCACTCAGATTCATGTTGGCTACCGTCAGCGCCAACATTTTAGCCGCCGTCTGTCTGCAGCTCTAACCTAACGGAGCTCAGAGCAGCAGCTGGGTGCCGACAATCACGTATATTGATCTACTGATCAGCAGTGGAAGCAGCTCTACGAGGTTTTGCAGATCAGGTGTGTCTGCACGGCGCCACGTCTTCCTGAGTGCGAACCAATCAAACTCACCCCAAACTGCCCACAAAGCACCAGAACAAACAGCAGAGAGAAGGAAGGCCCGAGTGCACCGGTGACTCCTCTGTATTCAAATCTGAGGTCATCACAGCTGAAGCTTGGACCAAACCGGGCCGTCGACAGGTCGGCGAGCACGGCAGCAAATCTCCAACAGAACGAGCTGCTGCAGAGCTCAGAGAGCTGCGCATAAATAATGATGTTCTGTGTTTCACATCATCTCAGGTTGTATCTGAATAACTCTACGATCTGCTGAGGACCAGATCATCTTCAAAACCAGATCAACAACAAAAGCAGAACAATTTAAGGACCCCACCTGGACCAAACATGATCCAGGTGGGGTCTGCTGACATCAGGAGAGACACACTCAGCCACAATCTAACCTGGCCTTCAGAGAGTGTTAAGAACCAAGTGACAAAGGTCCAGGTGAAGCCCATCAGAATCCACCCCTGACTTATTAGCTGCTGGTGGCTTTGTTGACTTTTCTGCGAGTTAATTAAACTGATCGGTTCTGATGAACTCGAGATACGTATTGGGATTCATCTCAGCTGAACTGGCTGTGTGCTTCAGTTCAGCTCGAGTTTGATTCATGTGGAAACATAGTGACACCAAGGGTGCAGCGGGACCCTCGTTACAGAAGAAGCAGCTCTTCAGAGACAGAGATGCTGCTTATAATCACACACTGCAGTATTCAACAGTGTTAGAAATGCAATCAGAAAGAAATTGTTTAAGTGGCCAATCAGAGTACAGCTCAACACAAACAGCTGACGCACGACCTCAGAGGGGCTTACCGGGTCTGCAGAGACCGGACGCTGGTTCTTGTTGCTCTTGGGAACAGCTACGTACGTCCTGGGAGGCACCTGAGGGGGCAGCGTCTTGCTGCGGGCCACGGGCTTGCCTGATTGGTCGCCGTTGGCCCTCCGACCTTGCCAGCTGTCATTTAGTCGGGACAGCGAGTCGTTGATGGTGTCATAGTTCAGGTCTCCGGAGGTCACTTTGGGCCGATCCACGTTGGGCATGAACAGGTTCACGTCCCGCGGCACGGTGGAGGGTCGGGGGGGCAGGAAGGGGTTCTCGGACACTGCCAGTGGCGGGATGGGGTTTCTTGGTGGGATGGCGGGGGGGGTGTCATCTGGAAGAGCGGGAAAACCCTTTGGCAGAAACCCTGAACTGGATCCGGGAGAGTCCCCAAGGCTGGGCACAGAAGCGTCCCTGAACTTGCAGACTTCAGAACTGTCCAGGATGTATGGGGACTCCTTGACATAGCCGCCCTGAGGGGGGAGGGCCCTGGCTGGGGTGGACTGTGGAGACTGGGACCCTCCCGCTTGGTTCAGGGAGGATTCGGACCCGGAAAGGCCCATCAGCAGGTTTCCTCCCGGCGGGGAAGGTGTGGACTGGTGGCGCTCGATGGAGGGATTGGGGGTCTTGGAGCCGGTCTGGCTGGGTCCCGTTCCGCTCTTGTCCTGTCTGAGTTTGGACAGGGCATCGTACTCCATCTGCAGGGCCTCAGCCAGGACGATCTCCTTCTGACTGAGACCCAGAGCCTCCAGGCAGCCCCAGCCCGCCTCGCTGCTCTCCTTCTGGGTCTGAGCCGCCGACATGCCACCTCGCAGCAGAGGAGGAGGAGGAGGAAGAGCTCGGTTGAAGCGCTGCTGGAAGAAGCAGTGACGTCACATGGAGCTGCTGATCAGCTGAGGATAGAGAGACAAAGAGGTGGTCAGCCAAAGCTACAACGCTTCACCCTGGAGCTTTATTCTGAAGGAATAACAGGAAGTTAAGGTGAAAATATGTCGTCTTTCGCAGCATTAATCTGGTTTACGCTCATAAACATAACAAGAACAGCTGCAGCTACGGAATTCATTTGAAAACCTTACTTCGTTATGACAAAGTCGGGTGTCCGCGCCACCGCCCGCCCGGCGGTGAAAGTCCCCAATCAGCCTTTTGGCTGAGGCCAGATAAATATCGCGCTACAGCAGGAAGTCCCTGCGCATCGTCATTTTATCAAACTGACTGAAAGTCAATGATTTAAAAACCGGACCAGCTCCAGCAGAACTGACAGGTAATCAATAATAATCCATATTCATCAGTGAGCTTTTGTGTGTGTGTGGGTCAGCAGGATGATCAATAACTGACATTAATCAGAGAAATGACTGATTAAATTCTCATTTTTGATAATCGATCAATAAGTTAAATATAAATGTATTTTTGATAATTGTTCAGTCTTGATGACGATTAATGAAAGCAGCTTTCATCGCCACCTCAGCCCCGCCCCCTCTGCTAACTGACAATCACTCAGATTTAAAGTGTGTCTGTACCCACGCGGCTCTGAGGCTGGCTGATGGGAGACGCTCATCATCGCTGACGAGCTGATTGGCTGCACACACCTGAACTCGTCCAGGATGCTCAGTGCGCCTGCTGCTGACTGTTTCTGACTTCCAGGCTCCTCCCCCTGAAATCAACGCACGAGCTGACAAAGAGCCGCAGTGTTTGCGTAATTAAAATGAGAAAAACCAAGACAATTGCACACGGGTGTCTCCGACCCGGCTGCAGAAATCGAGACGTTCAAGACCGGCAGACGCGTCACATGGCGTGTGTCGCTGATGCCGCGTGACATCAGCAACTGAATCAGAGCCTGGCTGCAGATCTGATTTGTTTCGTCTTCTGTGGGACAAAAAACATCCGGGTTATCTGGGATTAAACAATCTGATCTGTGACGTCAGCTCGTCAGTGAGGAGCGGCTGAAATCTGTAGCCTGCGCTATGAGACCGGCTCCAGGTAAAGGTGCGTCTGTGTGCGTGCTCAGGTGGACTTCTGTACCTTCTGTGGGCGCCAGCAGGTGAGATAAAAGCTGCTGATTCGTCACAGGTAATAAAGTTCAGACGTGTGCCGATCAGCTGAAGATGAAACTGAACGCAGTTCCTGTTTTTTCCTTTTTCTCGGTTAGACTAAAAAGAATAAACGAACACAGTCGCTGACATGTTTCACCTGCTCGTTAGTTCAGAGTCAGCGTTATAAGCTGACGTCGTCTTCATCTCATCTGTCGTCACAGCTCGTCTTCATCACGGCCTGTGCGAGTGTCGTCAGCACGTTAAATCGTGAACTGTGACTGCAGACGCGTGCGACTCGTCCGGACCACACGCACGCTTTAACTTAAGTGTGCCCTACATGTTATGCAGCCACCTGTCACCAGGCGGAGTCACAGCCCTGACGTTGCTACAGAAATGTGTGATAACACGCGATTAATCTAAGGCTGAATTTATCGCTGGTTACTCTGAAGGTGAAGAAGCGAGACGGTGGATATGACCTTCGCTGAAGGGTGGGTGGGCTCTCCCAGAGATGGGGCAAGGAGGCCGCTGCTCCTCACCAAGGCGGTCACCTCGTCGGCGAGGGGCTCTGAGCGCAGGTTTTCACACTTGTCGCTGACTGAAGAAGTCACCTGATGATGATGAAACGCTTCATTGAAAACGTCCGGATGAACAGAATCAACTTTTTAGGGCTTCCTCACCTGGATGACTGAGCACAGCCTGATACGGTTTGCTCTCCATACATAATCTCCTCATTCTAAAAGCTGTATTAAAGTTTTGTTACAGAATAAAAATAAGATTGTGGGGCGAT